TAGAAGAATAAGAATGGGGTGGAGCACATTCGGCAAGCACTCTCAAATTATGACAGGTAGATTGCCACTATCCCTCAAGAGGAAGGTATATAACAGCTGTATCTTGCCAGTACTTAGCTACGGAGCAGAAACCTGGAGACTTACAAAGAGGATTCAGCTTAAATTGAGGACGACGCAGCGAGCAATGGAAAGAAAAATGGTAGGTGTAACCTTAAGAGACAAGAAGAGAGCAGAGTGGATTAGGGGACAAACGGGGGTTAAGGATATCATAGTTGAAATAAAGAAGAGGAAATGGACGTGGGCCGGGCATGTAGCGCGTAGACAGGATAACCGCTGGTCATTAAGGGTAACTAACAGGATTCCCAGTGAAGGGAAGCGGGTTAGGGGAAGACAGAAGGTTAGGTGGGCATATGAGATTAAGAAGTTTGCGGGTATAAATTGGCAGCAGCAAGCACAGGACCGGGTTAAATGGCGGAACATGGGAGAGGCCTTTGTCCTGCAGTGGTCGTAGTCAGGCTGCTGCTGCTGCTGCTGCTGATGATGATGATGAGTATGTGCACGCTGAAGACAACTAATGTCTCCTAGTTCTGCACGTTCAATTTTTTCAAAGTAGATTCATACCTTCTGCACATTAGTTTATTTTTAACAGCGAAAAATACATTTACTTTGCATCTTTGGAGACTTACTACTCTAAATTGAGAAGAAATCACCACTGTATCGCTGAAGAGTGGGTACACAGTGGGCTCGGAAAGAAGCGATCATCGGCATGCGTTGGTGGCGGAGTAGGCAAGTTCGTGCTGTGACGTCACTTCGCCGCTACTGCAGCGATGCCATTTTTCGTTCTTGGGGATAATACTTCACTGAGTATGAAAAGCATGCTCTTTTTGCAAGCCGGGCCTGTGCAGTGAACGAAGAAATTTTTGTGAGTCCGGCAGCTCACTTAACTCTTCTGATGACAGCCGAAGGCACACGATTCTCTCAACAGAAGAATAAGCGCGCGTGCACAACCCTCTAACCCCCCTCCCCCCCATCCGGTGGGCAAAGTATGTGTGGGAGATAAGTGGGCGTTGGCGCACTGCAACAAGCTGGCCACCGAGCACGTGCGGCTTTATTGTTTCTTGGTTATATATACATATATTGTATAATGTTTATTGTGAGACGACGTCACATACAACAATATGACCATTGTATTCTTCAACACAGGCGTGAGAGCCACAAGCAGCGAAGCCTGCGCGTCTAATGCTGATGATGATTACAATATTTTAGGATATACAGATGAAGATGATCAAGCAAATAGGCACTCACACTATTTTCCCCCTTTCGCAAAGGTGGGCGCAATTAGAGAGGGTTGATGCAGAATATATAGTTTCAGTCGAGATACATGAGCGATCTCGGTTCTGCGGGGACAAGACGGGAGCTGCACTGACACGAACGACACGATAGTTTACATCAGATATTTGTTGCAGCACGATGTAAGGGACTGGGATACCTGTGAAGGAATTTTTCACAGAGCCCAGGGGCATTATAGGTGTACCAGGAGCCCTTCTTCACCGAGGGTAAACGTAACAACTCGTCATCTTCAACAGCACTATACAATTTTCTTCTTGTCCGGAATTGTCGCGGTGTTGGTGCGTGCAATTTGACAGCATCGGGCGACGTGAGCAGTGAAGTCTTTTGGTAGAGAATAAGATGAAGCAGAGGACGTGGACAAAAAGGTGGTGCTCAGAATGAAAGTCGGTGAAAGGCCATACACAGAGAAAAATGCACTGTAATTCGTCCTATGTTGTATGGCAGTATTGTATGCGAATGTGACGAAGGGAAATATAGCGTCCCAGTTTTTGTCATATTGTTGAATATATATGGAGATCATATCAGACAAAGTTAGGTGAAAATGCCCTGTCAGGCCATTCGTTTGTGGATGGTAGGTTGATGTAGTCTTGTGGGTGGTATTAGATTTCTGGAGGACTTCAGCTAGGACTTGGGAAAGAAATAGTTTGCCACAATCATTAAGGAGCACACGCGGGGTGCCATAGCACAAAATTATGGCACACAGAATAAAATCGTAGACTTCAGGGGTAGCACCAGAGGGAAGAGCTGCCGTTTCAGCATAGCGAGTAAGGTGGTTGATGGCAGTAACAATTCAATGGTGGCTGGTGGGATTAAGAGGAAGTGGTCTGTATAAATTGATGCCCACGAATTGAGAGGGTGTTGACGGACACGGCAGAGGTTGCAACGGCCCCACTGGAAGAGATGTGCTACGTTATTGGTGCTGGCTTGACGCACACGAGCTGACATACATGGTCACACAAGTGGAAAGGCCAGGCCAAAAGCAGTGAGTCTTGATGTGGTCTTAAGTCTTGTGAAAGCCTAAGTGGCCAACTGTCATGTCATCATGAAAAGCTGTAAAGCCTGGAACAAAGTGAGTGGAAGATGACTGGAACCCATTGGTTACCGAGAAGATGGTAAATTTTTTTACATAATCTCCTGTCTTGAAGTTTGAAGCATGCAAGCTGCCATTTTAAGTGGCTGTTTGGAACCTGGAATAAACCAGTGAGCCAATCGATGATTGTGGTGCAGTATAGATCTGCATGTTGGAGTAATGTGAAATCTGTGGATGAAAGGAGTTCCGCCGAGGCAACAAACTTTTTTGGACCAATAGCCGTCTGCTTGGTCGCTTGACTGGTCAGTGAGGAACAGATGGAAGGTGAAAGTTGGGCACTTGGCGAGAGAGGGCAACGCGAGGAAAGCGTCGGCATCCTGTGTTGCCGACCTTACCTATATGTTACCCTGTAGTAATACTCCTGTAACCATAGAACCCAACAGCAAAGGCATCCCAACAAATTTTTTGAGAGTCGATAACCTACAAGATCATGATGGTCAGTCATGACTGTGAATGTCGGCCGTATAAGTAGGGTTGAAACTTTTGCACAGACTGCCACGATGGCGAGGCATTCTTGTTTGGTGATGCTATAATTTCACTCAGCAGGAAAAAGAGTACGGTAGTGTAGGCCACGACTTGTTCTTCGAAAGCGTCGTTCCGCTGAAGCAGGACCGCACCGATGCCTAGTGCATTGGCGTCAGTGGAGAACAGTAGGTGCGGCAGGTTCGAAAAGACGGAGCACTGGCCATGCTGTGAGGCATCGCTTGAGAGTGTGAAAAGCAGTTATCCCAGGTATCTGACCAGACAAAGCATGCGTTCACAGTCAGAAATTTGTGCAGAGGAGCGTTGATATAGTGGCGAAATCACGCACAAAGCAGCGAAAGTATGATGCTAAGCTAAAAAAGCTGAAAAGTCTTTGGATGTCGTTGGTGTAGGAAAGTGAAAGCACCGCAGCAATCTTGTAGGGATTGGGCTCCATGACATGTTTGCTGACGACATGACCTAATATCTTGATATGCTGCGACTGGCAATCGACACTTCATAGTGTTGAGCTGGAGACCAGCCTTAGCTAGACATGTTAGAACTTCATTAAGCCATTGTAAATGCTGCGAGAAGCTGGACGAAAAGATGATAACGTTGTCTAGATAGCAAGACAGGTCTTCTATTTCAAGCCCTGTAGTAATATATCTATCATGCGTTCAATGTGGCAGGGGCAATTGGCATAGGCCAGAAGGCATTACGTTGAATTCGACGAGGTCCGTCAGTGTGGCAAAGGCAGTCTCTCTTTATCAGACTCATGCACGGAGATCTGCCAATAACGAGAGCGTAAGTCAAAACTTGAAAGGTACTCGGCACTTTGTAATGTACGAAGAGCATCGTCGATCCGAGGAATATAATAAACGTCCTTACGGGTAATATTTTTCAGCCCTCTATAGGTCGATGTAGTATTGCACCGAGCCATCTTTCTTTTCACTAGTACATCAGGAGAAGACCATGGGCTTGCTGAAGGCCTGATAACTTGCGTGCGAGCATGTCTTCAACTTGTTCTTCTATAACTTTGCATTGAAAAGATGATACACGGTAACGGCGGCGGCGAACGATACGATATTCATCTGCGTCGATGCGATGAGCGGCCATGGTTGCTTGCCCAAGGCCATCGGAATAAACATCGAAGCAAGTTTGTGTTTCATAATTACGTGAGCAAGGCACCAGCCTTAGTCAGATAGAGCTCATAGTGACTCATAGTCACTATGAACACTATCTTTGAGACTGCGCTCATAGTGACTTTGATTGCGCGAGATGGGCATCCTGCAGGTTGACAATGTGGCAGCAGGAGCCAGTAAACAGTGAGGACTCATACCGATGCTTCTTCAATAATGCTGGCAACAGTAGTCTCCTCTGGTGCAATAGTGGTTCAGGTGCCGTGTTTTAGATGGTAATGCTTGCATAACCATAAGAGACATGCACTAGGCAAAAAAAGTAGCGATTCTACGAAGAATGCAGCACTGGCAAAGAATAGCCTCTGCGTCATCATCTATAATGTCTCGTGATCTGATCGTTAGAACGCATTTTTGACAAAGAAGGCTGGTAAAAATATGCAGCTGTAACAAGGTATGGCGACAAAAAAATGGAAGGAGAAGATTGTCAGTGTCCACTAGACGAGTAAAAGATTGACCGCACTAAATGACAGCTGATGCATCTGATACAAAATTCCTGCCTAAGATGATCTGATGAGCGCACGAAGGAAGCACAGCCAAATCTACATGATGATGGATTCAGTCGATGAGCACGCGAGAAGTACATCGTCCGGTAGGGTAAATAAGATTTTCATTAGCACTGCACTATGTATGACCAATATAAGGAGTCTGTACTTCCCGTAAATGAAAACACAATTTATGGTGAATGACCGAAATGGCAGCACCAGTGTCTGTAAGAGCCTCAATAGAAACACCTTTAACCCGAGCAGGCAGTAAATTTGCTGGGCGAGATGGAGCAATTGTTGCATTTTGATAACAGGGACAGGCAGTTTTCCTTCCAGAAACTGCAATCTCTAGTTTTCCGGGTGACTGTCCAGAAAGGTTGGAAGAGGACGTAAGGGTGCATGACGACGTACGCCGAAATGGTGATGGAGAATGTTAGAGAGATTAGCAGGAAGAACGGGGCAAACCTCGGGATTTTGGAGGCGAGGGTGAATGCTGGGAAGAAGCTGGATATGGCATGTGAACGTAGTGATTGGATCTTGGGGCAAGGTCTCGCTCATAAGCTGAATATCCACGTCATTCATCCTGCTGACGGCGGTGGCCAAAGTGGGATATATGGCCTTCGTATGCCACAGTAAAAGCAGACAGGGGGCGGAGAATGCCAGGTTGTGTAGCGTGGTTGCATTGGCCCCTGTGCTGCCATCGAAGCCAAACGGTTGCATACACGTCAGCAGACACAGATGAAACTGATGCTGGGGCCCATGATGACACTTCGGTGCATGACGGTGCACGAAAGGGCATAGGAGATGGGGCTTGTGTGACTCTTGTCATCGATGCTAGTTCATCCCGGATAACGTTATGCAGGTATGAGCAGGAGGGCAAACAGAGTAAATGGCAGGGTTGCCCAAAACAATACTGTCAAGTTCTTCTCGGACAATTGTGCCGATAAGAGCTTGTAATTTAGGCTCTCCGGTAAAGTTGGCGTCACAGGAGGCCTGTGGAAGGCGCACAAAATAAAATAAAGGGCATCTAGACGTTGGCACGTAGTAATGACGTCTTAAACAGTATTGGGGGTCTGAATGACAAGGGCATTTAAAACGACAGAGTTAACGTCTTTCAGTAGGTGATGGATACGATCGGCCTCCGTCATATCACTTTTGGCTCGGCAAAAAAGGGCCAGCACGTCTTCAATATACTATGTACAGAATTCTTCCAGCCTTTGAACGCGGGTGGCGAGTTTCTGTTTGGCCACTTCAGAGCATCTTGCAGACGTGCCGAAAATTTTCTGAAGTTGCACCTTAAATGTAGTCTAATCAGGAAAGTCACGCTCATGGTTATGAAACCATGTCTTAGTGACCTCCTTGAAGTAAAAGCTGATGTAGCGCAGTTTGTCGGTCTCATGCCAATGATTAAAAGCGCTTGTTCTGTCAATTTATCTACCCACTTTTGACATCTTCTCCGCAAAGGCCGTGAAATACCGAAGGGTCTTGTTGCTGTGTACTCACGGTGTAGTGAGGCTCAGCAGGCTGAGCAGGTGGTTCAAGGAAGGCAGCAGGGGGTGGGTCGTTTTACGCCATCTCTGTTGGTAAGCAGAGCCATCGACCAAACAAACCACAGTTACAGGGATGACCGGTAGAACACGAGGGCTTTGGAATCATAGCACACACTAGCCCTTTGTGAGATGGCGTCAGGTAGAAAAAAACGAGCATTGTATTCTCCATCACAGGCATGAGAGCCACAAGCAGCGAAGCCCGCGCGTCCAGCGATGATGATGACAATAATAATGAACCTATAGATATATGTGTGTGTGTGTGTGTGTGTGTGTGTGTGTAATAATAATTGCTATCGCAATAAAAAACACTGTATGAGTGTCTCGTAAAAGAAGGAGTCTACGCATGTAATATTGCATGGCAAAAGCCTAGAATCATGCAGAGCGTAAAAATATGTAAACTGTGCAATGAATTGATTAATCCGGACATCTAGCCTTATCGCCATCAGCAAAAGCACTAACAAAGCGAGCAGCTAGGCAAGTTTGCGTGTTGCCTTACGGACGCATATGTAGGTCTTTCGGTGATTTTAAAAAGAAAGAGTTACGACGTAATGGGGAATACGCAACTGTACTTTCAGCAGGTATTCCACGATAGTTCAGAAGGGCTAATATTACATGCAGATGTTCGCTTTCCTTTCATGCTGTTGATGCATCCACCACAAACTGAGGCCAGGCGTGCAGTTGAGAATGCGATGCGCATGAGGCTTGATTACATCATCACGTTCTACTCTTGAAGGCGAAGCTCAAGTGTTCTCTGGGTTGCGGCTGGGCCTGCAGTCAGGGGCACAGGCAGAATTTTTTTTTTTGGAGGGGAGGGGTTCAAGTTTGTGCATATTTTTGTATATGTGCGTGTATTTAAACGCAAGCAAAATTGAAAATTCTCAGGGAGAAGTTTGCTCTAATCTATTACATTAGCTGAAGGCATAATGCTTCATCATTGTCAGCCAGAGCATCAACAAAGTGCTCAAAATGCCTAACAAATATGTAGCGGCTACCACGCTTTTCTGAAAAATGACAAATATTGGCATAACGAAGGCTTCCACACTGACAACTGCAAAAAGATTATGATGATGTAAGGCGTAGTTGGTGCCAAGTGTGTTTTACTTACCCCAAGGGGGTTTAAAATATCTCTAGAAAAGCTTCTCTCTCAGCCTTCACTATGACTATGCCGCTGCCTGAAATGTATGGCATCACTATGTTGGTTATGGCCCGTATAGCAGCATCGAATGGGGCTAGGCAAGCTCAGCCACTCGTGAGCTGGTGCAGGCGCTGAAGCTGTGCCAATGAGTGGTGAACTCGGCTTCCCCTCGTTCTTGTAGAGAGCTGTAGTGCCTGTGCACGGGAACCCAGACGCTGGGTTCTCAAGCACCTTTTTTTGTAGTCTATCTTTTTTTTTTCTCCTGCTGTTTTTTTTCTCCAGGTGTACTGAAGGAGAGTACCAAAGAGCAAAATAGGGCACCTGAGGAACTAAATCTCACCATCGGAGAGCAGAGCTTCAGTGCGATATTTTAAGTGAGCGTCCTCAACAAAATGTCTGAAATCAACTTCTTAAATTTTCTTACACTATTCTAGGTTCAACATGCAGCTAATGAGGACAGTAAAAGCCGCCAAAAAAAGAGAATTTTTAGGGTTATAGCATTAAAGAGCTCATTTCGCATAACCTCCAGCACCGGGCCAGTTTTGGTGCCACTGATTTGAGCAAAACTGATCGCTTTGTTTGTGACTGAAAACTGTGGAAAGATTGCGATTGGAATAAATTATCAAAAATTTTTAATGAGAGTGAGAATCGAACCCAGGTCATCTGCATGGCATGTAGATGGCCTGGGTTCTACCATAGAGCCACAATGATTTTTTTGAACTGTTTTACTGCGTCAGAACATGCCAGGGGTCAAAACATGACAATTGAGGAACAAAGGCCACTCATTTACGTATTTAATCATCATCATCAGGCACAGAGCTATCAATGAAGTGAACATGAGTAGCTTGGCGAGTTGGGCGTACAAACTTATAGGGTCATTTGCTGATTTGCAAAAGAAATAATTATAACGTATAGTGGGCACTTACTAATTGTGCTTGCAGTAGGAATTCAATTATACTTTGAAATAGCCAACGTGACAAGTACAGTCGTTGTTTCCTTACGGCACTGCTGAGGCGATGCGCACGAGGGCCAATTACGCTTTGTTACTCTGTGATCCCACTACTCTGTAAATGCCAGCTAGAATAGACACCTTCAGTTGCGTACAAAATATTAGATATACCATGAAGGACACCGTGAAGCGCACGTAAGAGGGTAAATTTGATTGGGATTTCTCTCAGAAAACTTTTAGATTGATTTCTACCAGGCAAGATTAGGTTTCAGAATGCAAGGTATTAGACATTTTGGCTATACATATACAAAAAAATGTACTGCAGGTGATTGTGGACCGGTCTGGTATGTCTCTGCCTGACAATATGGACTTGGTCGCTTGGTTTCTGGAAAACTCCTCTTCTCTGGATGCCATGTGACTGGATCAGGTGAGCTGAGATTGTGTTCCCATCTAGATCTTTGACGACTCCCTGTGCAGTGCCTACAGCTGTGCTAAAGGCCCTCGGGATTCCTCGGCCAGCAGTGCCCACTCGACAAGCAGAGCAGATTGCAACAGATAAGCAGTCCCAAAGAAAAGGTGTGTAATGCAAGATTAGTGAGTGTGGCACTAATAAAGAATTCGTCATTCAATGCATGATACTAAGAATGAAGAGCAGACTGAAATAACTTGAGCGATAACTGCTAGCTGGTTTATTGAAAAAAAAAACAGAATGAAATTTAAATGCATCATTGTCACGATCACACCTAGTGGTAATACGCTGTGATTGATATGCCGTAACGCACTATCAAACTTGCATGTTCAGGGTCAACCAAATGCAGTGCCAGAAGTTATGCTGACATGGGCTGGACAGGAATGCGAATCCCTTCACTGACATTTGATAACTAGATAGGGACATGGCTCACACGCTGATCACCTATTTTTCTATAAAATATTTGTTAGTATCTTGACTTGGTCAAAAGTTGAAGGAATACACCGAACCCAAAACGCTTTAAAAAATAACACGGACTTGTCAGCTCTCATACCTTATTCAGAATCGAAGCAAGCAAATAACCAGGCTCTACTGTGTGCTCTCGAATAGATGCGCCGTCTTTGCGATTTAGCACAGTATTAGTTGTGCGGATTATATTAACACATATTGGGTCGTTACAAATCTAAGCCACTGATACTATGCTAAATTGCAATGACGGTGCCTTTCCTTCTGTTTACGCACGCAGCTTGCGCCATCTATTTGTACGTACGCTCTCAATCCTGTTATTTTATTGCTTCATTTGTGAAGAACGTATGGGAGCCGAAATGTCTGAGTTATTTTTCAAAACCTTTTCAGTCCTTCGCCTTTTGACCATCACTGTTCTCGACTCTTTTCGTTGAGCCCTTGATTTCTTTCTTTGTTGTCGCTCTTTTGAGAAAACGCGTGGGCCTACCAAGAAGGGGTGCATCCACCAAAATTATAGCTGACTACTGCATGTTTACATGTGCAGTTACGAAGGGAGGACTTTTTCCCCTTTATTTGGCCTTGATACAAGTCCACCCTCGTGTTAGCGCAATACACTGTCAACATCATATGGAGAAACAACAAATTAACAAAGAATTAACAAGGACGTGTGCTATCTAAGGTATATGCGGCAGAGTTGCGACAAGGCGGATCGTGCTTTCCCTGCGGAGCTTGGAAGACCGTTCTGTTCATGTGGCATAGATAGAAAAAACTGACGTGTATATCCAGCCTAGGGAGTAGTCCACGGTGGTTTTGAAGATTGATTGATTATTTGATTTGTAGGGCTTAACGTCCGATAACCATCTCAGATTGTGTGAGACGTCGCAGTTGAAGGCTCCAAAATTTCGACCACATGGGATTCTTTAACGTGCACCCAATTGAGCACACAGGCCTACAGCATTTTCTCCTTCATTGAAAATGTAGCCCCCGCAGCCGGAATTCGATCCCGTGACCTGCGGGTCACACGTCAAGTACCTTAGCTACTAGACTACTGCAGTGGGGCGTGGTTTCGAATATTGAGCCAGTCTATAGGGCTGACATCTTGGTGGGGCGGTGTTCACTGGCGTTTCTGCACCCTCACTTACACTGTTCAAAAAACTTGGGCGTTACCATCTGAAATGACAATACTTGTACCTTCTATAGGCTTTCTTTTTTCAACTTGTTCGCACGTAAACAAAAATTACATAACTTCTTGTAAACTGGTCATGTCACTTAAATCAGGAGAGATAGAGAAAATACTTCAACAAATTATCTGGTGAATGACTATCGTAGCTTCACCAGGAGAAGGTCATTGCGATGCTGCTAGACATCACCTCGGCTTCTCATCAACTACTCTGTGAGCAGCCCTCGCTACTTCCAAGTTGCGTGTCACCAGGCAGGTTCCCTCCCCCTTCCAAAAGAGAAAAAGAACGTAATGTGTGCGTGTTGTGTGTGACCGGTTGAAACTGGAGAACAATAGCCAAGTCTAGTCAGCACGAGATGTGGTAGTGCTTGCCCTGCTCGCTAAAACCATGCTTCTTTAGACGAACCTCAGATTGACTGAACTGTAAATATGGTGATCATGCCGAAGTGACTGAAGCATGACAGCCGAATGCCTACAGATATAAAGTTATATTTTTGCTAATACACTCTGCAGTGTTCTCTAAAGACGGCGCCACTTGTGGTCTCATTCCCGATGTCTGTCTGGAGTGCGTGCTCATTGATGCAGCCTTTATGTTGTTGCCGCAGACTTTTAATGTTGTATCCGACTATAACTGCTTTCAGTGACATCATCTGCGTGACGAAAACCACGCATACAGCGTTAATCATTAGGTCAAGTTTCTCAAATCGACTGTGGCTGTTTTGTCTGCTTCACTTGGCAGAGCAATGTCCTAGTTGCTACTTTACTTGCAGACCTGTGCATCGCTTGCGACACTGCGCTGCCCCTCGGTGATACACGCACTCAGCACCCTCTTGTGGAAGGAGCTGTTTGTGAAGACTGCCGTGAAAACCTTCTTGAGAGTTTGTTTGCCATCGCTCTGGATGGTACCTGCGTGAGTGGTTGTTGCGTTGATCCAGCTTATTGCATATCTTATCATGGTGTCTTCATAATTCTTGAAGGTGTTTTCTCAAGTGCTGCTTTGTCCGTTGACTGGGTTATTTGAACTAGCAATGCCTGTAACTAGCGCCAAGCATAGTGCTAGCGATCCTAATTGATGTAGGAGAATGCTTGTGCATGCGTAAGTGTTTAGAAAAAGATTTACACATTTCTGTACTTCCGAATAGCAAGGAGTCATTTTCATGGTTTGGGAACACCATAAAAATGACTCGCAATATCTTGGCTTATGATTGGAGGCAGCCAACGCAGCCAACTTAAGAGTCCAAATAAATTATTTATTGGCGAACATGCTCAACTATGCCGCAGCATTAAATTGCATGGTTATACAAAAACCTTGGAAATATGGAATTCTATTTACTATTGCACAATCATTGAGATTGTTAGCATGCTGACAATTTGCAAAACTGAGTGTGAGTTGTTAACTATAAAAAAATTTTCATTGGTTATATACTAAGTTTTCGTCAAGAATGCATGTCTTTCATCTTTTGCAATCGATGCATAAACGTAAAACTAAAAAAAGGTTTTTGGAGCTGTGCACACGTGGCGCCATGCCAGAGGAAAGTACAGAGATGCGTAGCGTCTTTATTTGTATTTGTCTTACTATTTTTTTCTTTTCTTTCTCTTTTAAATTAATGCTTGCTTCTTTTTTTAAACTTTTGGTTTGGCTTCGTTACGCGTAGTCATGACAGCATACGACAGCCCGACCCATAAAATGGTAGCATTTTATATCATAATCAAACTCTTGAAGAACATGAGAACAAGAGTTATCTTTGGTGTGAACACGTGTTTGCATGTCTTTGCCACGGCCGCTGGATGAAAGAGCGCACGGGTACAGCCCGCCGCGTGCTCCAAAACTGGCGTGAGAGGTCTAGTTCCCCAACCACCGCTGCGGCGCCACCGGAGGAGGGAGACAGTTTTTGCAAGCGGCCATAGAATCGCATGCGCGGCGCCCTTGTGGTAGTTACGATTGAGCGCGTGCATCTTCATGTCACTCACGAAATCTTCTTTTAATATCCGTCTGGCGTGTGCGCATCGTCTGGCGTTTGTGCACCAGATAATTACCGATCTTGCTTTTAGATACCTGCAGCCCTTGCAAAAATTTGGTATTGTCTTACCCGAGATGAAACCTTGCACACCGATCAGTTTTCGTGGAAGTAAGAATTGTGAGCACATTTTACACGGATACTAAAAGATTACAACTGACAGATTTGGAAGAGCTACACCTTTTAATGCATCTAAAAATTATAGTAACTGTGAGTATGTCACTTCAGGAAATGTTGCTTCAGATTTAATTATTTCATTTAGAATATGGTACCTGTTTCCACTGTACCTTTAACAAAAAATAAGATAGACTTCTCACTTCCTTCAAACACGTCCATCGTAATCATAGAACACAGTATTCAATGCAACAACCACGAAATATTCTTAGCATGTGTGCGATATCATAACAATAGACTCGAGCATCTTTGAAATTTTAGTGACTGTAATTTCAATGCTGGCAAATGAGCGGGCAGTTATGAAGTAAATAATATGAAAACTTGGAGACAAAAAGAGTGAATGCTTCAAAATATGCACACAACTGCTTGCGTTCCTGCGCTTTTGAATGTTTTCTTCTTTTTCCGTCTCGATGTTCTTATGATAATGCAACTAATTTAACAGTGAACACATAACTGAAACAAGATGTGTGAAAATATTTTATTTATTCTCAATTTAGGGCTGATCCTGGCATTTTTAAATTTTTTTTACTTCATGCTTTTGCATAATAAAACAACTTGACAATTGCTCCAGCTTGTGCGCCCAACTTTTGGCTTCTGCGTCTGCAGACAATAAAACCATTTGTTCGGTCTTGTCTTGTTAACTTTTCCACGGGCACTGGCTAATCCTGATAGCACTCCAAAGTGCTTGTCTTCTTGCAGTCTTCGTCATGCGGTTCTGTAATGCATTACTGTTTATTTGTTCTACAATGTATCGTCGATGAATAGGCACCTGTGATCGCTCAAACGAATGCAAGTCACGTGTACTCGACTGCCCCACAGCAGCCGTGGTTTTGCAATGTGTAAACATATTAAAAACATGCCTGTCACTTGATCCCGTTGTGTATATATATATATATATATATTTATATATGATATTGCTTTGCCTCGTAAGAACTATCAAAAAACTTGAATGGCACTTCTAATGCTGTATACTTTCACAGTATCTTGAATAAAGTTACGAAGAGCGCGTCACTTAGTTTGTGGAAACCACTTTTATCTAATGTTTGAAGCTTAATTACTTCTCGGAACACTACCGTGTAACGGATAACCTAAAAATATTTATATTATCTTTTTTTATATCCTTTCAGAGTATAAAAGCTATGAACGTCTAATGTAAAGTGTCCAAAAATAATTGTCATGCATTCCGGCTGAGAAAACACAAAAGTGCTGAATAAACGTCACAATAATCAAAATAAGTTAATTTAAAACATCTTAATAAATAGTACAATGATTTTGTCACACATTCAGTGCCATATCATTCAGCTACATGCATTGTGGATTTTTCTGTCAGCCTCAGAGCAAGAAGCTGCTTCTGAAAAAAAAAAAAAAAACAGCAAATGCTCTGCACGCACAGGAAAAATCAATTGGCTTTTAACTAGATAGTATCTCGTCTCCTAAATATGCGATATGTTATCGTTGGCTAAATTAGTTAAAGAACACTGATTAGAACAACTGAGTGGGTTACTGTTATGACAAACACCAGCTGACATGCCGCGGCTGCTGCCCCGAGGGAGCCGGTGCCACTCATTTGCCCGTCTCTCCCGCCCCCACTCCGTCGCGCTGCAGCTGCCGCAACTGACCCTACGGCTGACACGCGATTTCCCATAGAAAGGCGCTCAGTGCGGCAGGCTGTACTGTGTACTTCTTCATCCAGCGGCCGTGGCTGTGCTTTGTGTGGTCCCGTTTGCGTTACACCAGGCGATGACGACAGCATAAATCACAGCCTACGACAGCCAAGGATGCAGGAACCACAGCCTATGATGCAGAAATTATTTTAAGTGCTCCGCATTTAAAAATATTTCGCACATCAAAAAATGTCCATCTAAAGGCAAAGAAACTTGTGCCTTGAAAAAACGCAGTTTAGAGCTGCTGAGCATGCGATTCTTAGCTGTGTCAGTAACCGCTCTAGGTATACACTCGTCAAAGCTTATGTTCATATTTGTAGATCTACGCCATGAACACTGCTCTTATGGTTATTCATAAAATCTTCATAATGTTCAGATGAAAGGATATTCAAGGTGACCAAGACTCGCATGAAGCGCAGCCGTGTGCTGTTGTATGTCACTTAGTTCTTACCAAAGAAGAATTGTCTGAGTTGCTGCTCATTCTCTATACGCAACTAACAAAACCTACAAGCAATTAGGCCGAGAAGAGTAGAAGGGAAGTATTTTGTGCTTTATTAGCTGCAGCCTAATACCACATTTACCCAATTAGAACGCGCACCTTTTTTTCACAAAACGTATATACCTTAGAATTGCATGCATGTTTTATTTGAGTACTGATGTTTACACTGCTCTATAGCTGTATTGTTGTTTTTGGGATCGCGGAAGTGAGGTGAGCTTTAAATAGGTAAACTGTAAGTAAAAGGAAATAAAGTGGACCGAAAGTTATCCTTTTTGTCATTGCATCTGAATACATAAGCTAAGTGTGGGATGGACACCCACAGGGTAGGCACCAGCAATTTGTCTGCAGCCTTATCGTGTGTCGCTTTCTGAGAGGAAAGTTATTGTGGAGCAGGTTGAAGAGTGTGTACCTCATTTCATTGTTGTGCATAACAGGTTGAAGATCTGTTAAATGAGAGAGTTGTACAAGTATCATGTTTTCTGGTGGTGTCTCCTTTCATTCTCAAGAAAAAGAGCAGTGACTGATGTTTCCGTATGGGCTATCACCACCTAAACTCTGATATAAAAAGGTGTATGTTCCTTGCCACGTATAAATGACGCCGTTGACTATCTGCACCCTGCATTTTTTTTTCCTTTCCTTGACTTGCGTTTCGGATATATTATAATTCCTGTGCACCCATCAGACTAGATCAACTCAACTTTCGTAGTACCCGGTGGTGTTTGACAGTTCAGCGTTATATACCCACTGTTTGTGCAGTGTTCTGGGGAGATTCGAAAGATTTATGGATTAAGCGCTCCTTGAAATGAAGTAAAAAAATTTTGGTGTGTTATCTATAATTGACGCTATTACTTACAGAAATATTTTTCAGTTGCACAAGCACCCCTCCATGCTTGTGTTTTAATGCAATTAGAACGCACACTTTGTTTTTACCTAGAAAAAAGTCACTTTGGAAAACGTGAAGCACTCATACTAGGCTTTCTCATGAACAGGAATGATGTAGGAGTGGAATTACAAAAGACTGCAGCAGTTCGTAACTTTGAACAACTACGAACAGTGCAGAATTTCAGAAGTTTTCTGAGTCTTTGTTCATACTTCCACCGAGTTGCAAGTAATTTTGTGCAATTTGCTTCTCCAGTCATGTGCCTTTGCTGAAAACATGCACTATACTTGTGGAATGGTAAATGTGAGGCTATTTCTGAGGAATAAAAATATTGCTGACTTCTTGACCTGTCCTAAAACATTTTTATTATTTTGAGGCTTTTACTTGAATGCACACTGATATGCAGTTGTGAAACCGCCGCTGTCCTTGTTCATATCTGCTAACACGCACGGTACCTGAGGATACTTTTGGCGCAATTCAGAGCTGAGTGCGCATCTGGACTGGGTTCATTGAGTTTACTGAGAGGGCGTGTAGATTGTGTATCTTATTCCATTGTGTTGTGGCAAAGAATATATAGGCCAAACCAGGCAACGTTTCAACGACAGGGCAAGGCAGCACCGTCTCAATGGGGAAGATGGTTTTGGCAGCCTGATGGCAACGCAATTGTGAGGTGTGTGGATTGTCACATCTGTGAGTCCAAACCAAACTTCATTGCTTCAGTGAAGTATGCGAGCTTCTGCTATGCTATGGGATGCAAGTGTCGTCAACATCGATAGAGTGGCTGCTGTAACCAGCGTCAGAACTAGCGAGAGAGCAGGCTGATGCAATCAACGGTGTCTCTTGCAGTGTGTCTTATGCAACCCGTGGCAAACCCTGCACCACGGGTTCGATTCCAGCCAGTTGGATGCAATCGACAGCATCTGTTTGCGGTGCATCTTACGCAATGCGCGGCATGCCCCCTCACCCACAAGTCCAGTTTCAGCCAGCGACCAGCGGCGTTTTCTGAATGGAGGCTTCGAACTACTGGCTGATGGAAGAAATGCTCAGGGCCTATGAAAGAACCAAGCGGCGTGGAGAGAGAAAGAGAGAGAGAGCGACAGAAGAAATCCCAGCTCCTCGACGCACCTAAGAGCGAGGTCGATAAGCTGTCAACGCTAGTGCCCAATATGTAACGCCTCTGTTTATACTGTACATAAATGTTGCCATGACTCACTGTCGACTTGTCCTCTCCATCTATCAGCTCTGCGCAGATGCAGCCGTGAGCTGATAGAAGCGATATCCAACAGCGGATGTTAGCTGCAGTATCAGGTGGCATCATTTATCTCGATGCGGCGAGTGCCTAATGTTTTGCCCACAGTTCACCAGGCTGCCCTAGCTCAGGTTACAGTAGTTTAGAGAGGGGCTGTGTGATGCACTGGAGTGAGCTTTCATTGTTTCAAGTCAAGAACGAGTGCTTTGAAACCAAAGGCAGTGCGGAGGGTGTAAACAAGGCAGGGCTGGAAATTGCTCACGCCTCCTTCTAGTAGACTTATAGCGGATAGTGGGTATGGCAAGTAGATTCAAAACAAGGGCATACAGCAAGAGGCTAATGTGAGCGATGAAGAACCCTAAAGTGAAGGAACTAATCAAAATTTGTCAAGAGCTAGGCCTTATTCTGGGCCATGTGAAACAAATGTCAGCGATCCTTGAGATCATAAAGAAAGATGGAGTAACGGCTAAGGAAGTCAATGAAGCCTAGGTAGATACCAAAAAACGTAGCGAGGAAGCCGAAAAAACAGAGCAGTGTGAACAAGCATAAAGGTGAGAACTCCATGAGTGTGAGGAAGCTGAAAGACAAGAAGGCCATGAGAAGGTCGAAAGACGGGAGCGCCTCGAGTTGAAAAGAACTGGTGCTCCTATAATGTTCACAGCCACCTAGCATAGCTTCTGCGACTGTTCAGGTCAGGAGTCACAGAATTTGAGACCAACTGCCACTGTTCATAGTAAGAGAGGACAAGGTAAAGTATTTCGTCAAGTTCGAACCTTTTTCAGAGCAAAATGCAATCAAGCGGTCTCTTAGGGCGTGGAACCTGTTAGCGCTACTTCCACGGGAAGTATCAAACGTGATAACGTGCTTGTTGAGGGAAGCATTTGAGAGCTATGCCCAGGTTAAGAAAATTGTTTTGAGATCTTATACATTGTCACCCAAGGCTTTGCGGCAAAGGTTCCGGCATATGCAAAAAAATTATGGACCATGTCCCCATAGGAAACTGTGATGGGATGTGAAGCAGCAGTGGTGCGCATGCAGTTGACCCAGCTGACACAGGCGTCAATGCAGGTGCTAGAAGAATGATTTGAAGTGAAATTCAGTGTAGCCTTTACTCGAGTAAACGGTTCCTTGAAATGCAGGCACGGGACTCAGTAACATAATATCTGAGGTTTAGCATTGCACACCCTTCACATGACTATGAGAAATGCCGTAGTCTAGGGCTTAGGAAATTTGGACCACCTGGGGTTCTTTGATGTGCACCGTAACTTGAGCACACGGGCTTACAGCATTTCTGCCTTCATGGAAAGTTCCACTGCCACAGCCGGGATTTTATCCCGTGACCTGAGTGTCAGCAGCCGAATACCTTGGCCACTAGACCACGGCAGCGGTCGTGTAACCTTCATTGCAAATAAACGAGCCCAAAGAGTGTTTTCACTCAACGTGCGGTCGAGCGTTGCGGGCAGTGGAGACGGTGAAGAGAAAGACATATGTGTTAAGAGCAAGAGGAGCAACACTACTTAAGTGTTTCTGAAGAGAGTGACAACAACGCGCAGGTGCAACATGACCTACTTTGCATTGTTCCAATAACTGCAGCGAGAGAACGCAGTGCAACGCATTGATGCGGAGACACAGATGGACAGCAATACACAGGCTAGTCAAAGAGCTACTTCGCATTTAATAGGAGTAATGGGTCACACGTTGGCAACGCGTTTCGTCTTAAAGCCAATTTAATTGAATGTCCTAGGAGGAAAATGTTCATGTTGATTACGATAAGGTGGTAAAATGCATTTCAGAGCGATTCTCCCGTTGCATCGAGAGTAAGGTCAAACTTTGGCTGCAGGATAAGCTTGGTGAAGTGCAGCTCAACAAGGTTGCAGAGGGATCTGAGGAGTACTATACTCGCCAAAACTTGCTTAGTACGGCAGTGCGTGTTCAAAAAGGTAAAAGAAGAAAGGGCTTTTCAAGAAACCTGATGAACGGAAACCCTTTTAGCACCGTAATTTTAAAGAGGGCTCGTCTGTTACGAAGGACACTGTAGGGGAAGGGCAAATGGAAGTGCATATATTGAGTGAGATTCTTAAACAAGGCACTGATGCTACACGGGTGTTTGAGTCATGAAAGTCGCCAGTCGACTGTAACTGCCAAAACGCAAAGCACATCGTGTTAAGGGGGGCCGCGTCCCTTGAAAACCGAAAAATCGCGAAAAAGTCGGTTTTTGAAAAACCACATTTTTGGGTTGTATGTCTCATAAACTAGCTATTCTGTAATTATCAGCACCTAATTCAACCGCAAAGTGTAAAAAAATACTATTTTCGAGGCCACCGCGGCGTCCAAAACAGGCGCGAATCCCGAAATCAAACCAAACTTCCCGCGCGCGCCATTCCCGGACCATGCGGTCGTCCCGCGCCATCTTGGTGTCGTTTTGACCGTGAATTCTTTCTCTCTTGTTCCCCGCCTTGCAAAATGGCGTCGGCAGCACAGTTGAGACGCTATTGGCGTTTTCCTGCGATGCGATGCGGAGCGCTGATTGGCTAGAGCAGCGCATTCATATATTGCGGGAGAAAGCGTGCCCGCCATTGGCTGCTATGCAGCAGCGGGGGCAGTCGCTCCTCTCAATGGCACGTCCAGCGCGCTCGCTTCGTTGTTGCTCTCTGCTCCGTTTGCCTCGACAGACGTCTGCTTACGAGCCGCTCTTCACCTTGTGCTATCTTTTCGATCATTTTCTCTCGTTTTTTTTTCTTTTTGCCCTAGTTCTGTGCCTTTCGTCTTTGTTGTTGCGGGCGATGCCGGCAACGAAGCCGAAGTCAGTGCGGAAGTCCGGTGCGCGGAGGCGCGCTATGCGGCTTGTACGATCATCGAAATTCCGCTATTCTGCTGCGGGTGCCGACTGCGTAGACGCTTGCAGCGACAGAACTGTGTTGTCGGCTGTCGCCAGTCGAGAATCCGACACATCGAGTGTGGCTGGAGCCGCAAATGCACCGAGTGTTTCCGAGATCGCCGGGCTTTACACGTGCTCCGAATCGATGCCATCCAGTGTGACACCGAGTGCTTCTGATATCGCTGGACCCAGCACTTCGTCTGAATCGGTGCCGCCATCGAGCGTGAGTGGACCGTCGCTTCATCTGCGGACGCGTTTCCAAACAAAGGAAGAAATCAATGCGAATGCGAAACGTCCTGACGCCGTTCGCGCTGAACACGAGTCTACGCCAACGACGCAGAAGAAATTTCAACTGATGCAGCCGGCTCTTGCACCTGCAGTGACAAGTGAGGGCGAACATTTTTCGCTCGTTCAAATGAACATCTTTAACGTCGTGCTCAGCCTCACAGTGTGCAAAGAATGTTTGAAAGGTGCTATGACTGTCCGAGAGAGCACCAAGCTTGGACTTGCAACAAAACTTGAAGTCGTGTGCGCCTCTTGTGGCACCGTCGATAAATTATGGAGATCACCCCGCAAAAAGGACACGCAGGCCTTCGATGTAAATGTCCGCGCCATAATAGCTATAAAGCAAATAGGCAAGGGGCAAACAGCTCTTAATGACTTTTGGGCTGCCATGAACGTCTCTTACAGAGGTCTTCACCACAAGACGTTTCAAAAGCACTCGAAAGAGACGTTCAGGAAGCCAGAGGCCACCGCTTTGGAGAAGTTTTATGCTGATTCTGCCACAGCAGTGATCAAAACATATAAAGAAATGGACCCCAGCTTCTGCAAGGACATCACCGTAGTGTACGATGGCACATGGCATAAGCGGGGTCACACATCACACATCGGAGTGGGATCGATAATTGACTTCTTTACAGGTCTCATCTTGGATTCTGTAGTTCTTTCAAACCACTGCCTTGGATGCCAAACAGGGCCCAAACCTGGAGATGCAGCATACGAAAGCTGGCAGAAGCACCTCATTTGCCAGAAAAACACAGACGCAAAATCGGGAAGCATGGAAGTGGAGGCAGGCTTGACTCTCTTTGGGCGGTCTGTATCCAAGCATGGCCTGCGGTACACCACTCTTGTGTCCGACGGAGACAGCCGTACCTTCGCTGCCCTCACAGAAGAGAATGTGTACGGGCTAGTGCCAATCGTAAAAGAAGAATGTCTGAACCATGTTCAGAAAAGGATTGGAAGTGCTCTTCAAAACATTGTGCAGAAAAGTGATAAGCCACTGAGTGGGAAGGGGAAGCTGACTAAAGCCCTCATTGAAAAGCTGACAGGATATTATGGTTGGGCCCTGAGAAACAATTCAACTGACCTAACAGCCATACAGCGTGCAGTGATGGCAGCATATCACCACGTCACATCGACTGACCAGGACCCTCCCTCACCATGAACTTTGCCCAGAGTGGGCTCAATCGTGGTGCCGCCATAGAGCTGCAGAGGCAAAGCGTGTGCCACAGCCAAAACATAAACACAGCCTACCGGACTATGTCGCTGCAGCTATGCTGCCCATCTACGAAAGACTGTCACAAAAGTCGCTTCTTCAGCGCTGCTTGGGAGCGAAGACGCAAAATGCATCAGAATCATTCCACTCCATTCTGTGGTCTCTGAAGCCGAAGGAACAACACTCATCCTTGATCGCGGTAGAAACAGCACTGCATGAAACAGTGCTGCGCTACAATGACAGCTGCTGCAAAGCAACCCAAGTGATATCGGACTCCATTGGACTTCAACCAGGTCATCTGGCCATCCAGCGAGCTCGTGAAAAAGACGCTTTACGCATAAAAAAGAATTCTAAAAGACACCAAGAGAAGATGGAGGCTAAGCAAAAGAAGAAAAAAGTGCGCCAGGACACTTCTAGCTACTGTGCTGGAGCTTTTTGAAGAAAACACGTGTTTTGAACTTTGTCGGCCTGTTTTCTCAGAACGTATTTTTTTGCTAGTTGTGGTGCTGAGGAAAGCAAGAACTCGAAAACCGTTGATCAAAATTATGTGCCATTTTTTTTATTCTGTTCCTGAATGAGCTTGCAAGGGCGTAACAAGCTCCTTTTTTTGAAAATTGGTGCTGTTAATTTATAATAAACAATAAATTTTTGATGAATCTGGTCATTACTGGTTACATAAAATTCAAAGTTGCGTGAAAATTTTTTGGGGGGGGGGGGAAATTAAAAATAACGGCTTTGTAGTGCCCTGGGATAGCTATCAAGGAATGACCACAATGAATTTCAGCTTTCTACTATGTCCTGGGATTTCTCACGACTCTTCCTTAGGCACCCATGTGTAGCACACAGTTAAACCTCAGTAACTCTGGAACTAAGAAACACAGCTTCGTGAAACTTAGCAGTTGTGCTAGTTTTATTGTATTGAACAACCCCTGAAAGTTTCATCCAGACATCTTAAAAAGTAAAAAAGTTCGGTCTCCAGGGTAGCCTCCCCCCTTAAATTCTAAACAAAAGTTTACTTTTACGACAATCCAAGAGTCTTGAAAGAACATGTGGTTGTTAGCGCCAGATCTGCACGAAATTAGTGTCAATGAAAAAATGTGTCCAGCACATGAAACTAACTGGCAACCATGAACCTTGTCCATCGTTCGTTTGTGTCCCAGGACAACTTTACAGGACCATGTATCCGGCTAAGGCAAGTCATCGATGAGCAGAGTGCTTGCTTACCGATGACTACCGTTGTCATTGAAGGCTATTTCGGTAAGCTTCACACCGAAGCACCTGTGTCTGCCGCACTTCCCGATTGTTTTAGATGCAAAGCATCTCTTTGCCTAGCCTGTGTAATGCTGTCCGTCGTGTCACTGTGTCAACGCACCACATCCCGTTCCCCCGCCACACCACGTCCCCCTCCTCAGCCACAGTTGTTGGAATGATGCCAAGTAGGTCAAGTTGCTGCTGCGTGTTCATTGAGGTCAATCTCTCCCTCACCCGCAGCATCTATTGGCTCCTCCCAACACACCTAGGTGCTGTTGCTCCTCCGCCCGCTCGCAACATACTTCTCTCTCACTTCATTCTCTCCAACACCCGCAACGCTCGATCGTACATCGAGTGGATCGTACATCTCGATCGTACATCGAGTGGAAACACTCTTTTGTGTCATTTATCTGCGATGAAACTTACATGATACCCTACCAGCTTCCCGCGTCTTTGCATTCAAAGAAATGTACCCGTGTAAAGGCTATGCGTAGTTTCACTTCAAAGCATTCTTCAAGCACCCGCATTGACACCCGTTTAGGTCGGGTCAAAGACGTGCAGCACCGCTGCAGATTCGCATGTTGTCATGGTTCCTTTTGGGAAGATAGTCCACAATTTTCCTCTTACTTTTTTGTTGACAACTCTGAGCAGCTTCTCAAAGAGCATGGTAAATCGTTCTTTTCCAACTTGGCGTACATGGCCTTTACCCAAATGCAAGCGCGAAATCTTCTGCACGAACTTGATCGCAATCAATGTAGCAAATCACCACTTGCAAAGGTGGCCGAGCTGCGTGAACTTAATGGCGAGTCAACCGATCTTTGGACAGAAAAATCTTGAGTTGGGTTACTCAAGCCACCCGTAGGCAATGTGAGTAGTGTCGGCTCTCTAGGCAGAGGAACCGAAGTGACGCCGTTAGGCGAGACAGGCACTACGCTCTTGCCGGTAGCTGAAAGTTGGTGTGAGCTGTTGAGGGTGGATCGAGAAATGCTCATTCGAGAGCAGCGTGAAGACTACTAAAACAAATCGCTAAATGAAAGCATAAAATTGGGAACAAAAAAAATAATGTTTCTTTTCATGAGAAATCAGGGTGCTAATATTGTAGCTTCAAAGATGTCCAAGATCACAAGTGTGAGCAGCTCTTGGTACCACAAAAGTATCATCAACTATTGGAACTGGGGCATAAAAATGTGTGGGCAAAAATTTTCGGCCTAAGGAAGACCAAGGCTAGAATTCTGTTTGAGTTTTAATGAGCAAAACGCTGGAAAGATACCGAAGTTTTTGTGTGCTCCTGCGACACTTGTGAGAGAGAGAAAATTCATGGAGAAGTGGAAGGCACCCATGAGACTTAAGTAATTCTCGAAGAACCTTTCCGGTGCCTAGTAATTGACATCATCGGGCCATTACCAAAGTCAAGGCAGGGTTACCAAAGTCAAGGGAGGGTTGTCGATACATCCTGATGGCCCTATGTGTAGCCACAAAATTTCCAGGAGCGGTATCACTTAGGGAGCTCAATTATCCTCATGTTGTGGATGCTCTGCTCTCGATAACTGCACATGGCGGAATTTCTTCTGAAATTTAATGTGATGATGGTAGTGTCTTCACGAGCTACCTTACTTCTATCATTTTGGATAAATGTGGAATAAAAGTAGTGCACAGCATGATCCATGACCTGCAATCTAGTTCGGTAGATTGTATGCATTCTGTTCTGAAATGGGTACTTAAAGCGCTTTGCTATGAGCACAAATGCAAACGAAAGCAGTGGAAAGCGTGTATTCCAGCCGTTGTGCTTGCTTTGAGATCTTCTACCCATGAGAGAGCTGGCTTTTTTCGCTGGAGTTTAAAAACATCATTGCAAAGGCTACGCGAATCGTGGGAAAGATTTGATGAGAACCCTAATTTAGTTCTGTATGTTCTTGACCACCTTCAGAGGCAAATAAAGACCCTGTGGACAGCCACATGAAGGCTGCACAAGTGTTGTTGAAGGAATACTACGACCAATTGGGGAACAAACGCACCTTTGAAGAGGGAAGTCAGGTAATGCTGCTGTGGCCGACGAAAAAAACAAGCTTGAGGTTCACTAGGAAGTGCCCGCTATAGTAATATTGAACTTTCCCCATACAAACTGTGAAGTGAAATTAGCAAGGCGGTCATACAAAATTACCACATTAACTTGATAAAACCATACACCCACCATCAAGTGGTCATAAGTCTGTTTATGAATACTTCAGAGGAAGAAGAAGGGAAAACTTTGACCTCTAGTGATGTAACCGAAAGGGGATCAGAGGTAATGTTAGAGCAGTAGAACCTGGAACCAAGAATAAGTGAAGTCCAGAAGAAGGACTTGAGAAAGGTTGTTTCAGAGTTTAAAGATGTGTTTTCGGACTGTCCTAAAAAATTATGGAGAATAAATACTATATCCAGCTAACCTGTGAGGAACCAATTCGTAGCAGGCCGAATCGACGTTCCCTGTGCAAATGCAGATAATGAAAGATGAAATCGATAGAGTGCTTCACTTGGGAGTCATATTACCGGGTGAGTGACTATACATCTCCTCTGATAATCATTCAAGTGCCAGAAAAAGATCCTAGGCCATGCTTTGATTATCGGCTCTTTAACACTGTAACTCGAAAAGAGGCTTGCCCAATACGAAATCTAGAGGAGAGGATAGAAAAAGTATCACAGGTAAATAACATTTACACGCTACACCTCATGCGAGGTTATTGGCAAGTGCCTCTTACAGAGCGCTAGCCACTCGGCCACATTCATTTATCCGTTTGGAATGTATCGTCACTTACGCTGTATTTGGGACTAAAAAATGCACCTTTTCGCATGTCAGGCTTAATGTATTGCATTCTTAATGACCTCTCCGAGTTCTCACTGCCTTATCTTGATGATGTTGCCATTTTTTCAAACAGCTGGGAGGAACATGTAGAGCATTTTCGAATTGTGTTGAATAGGTTGAAAGAAGCAGGTCTTACCGTGAAACCTTCGTGATGTCAATTGGGGTGCGGCTAGGTGTCTTACCTGAGACACATTGTCAGGCATGGCCGCCATAAGCCTTTAGGGTAGTGGCCATCGTCAACCATTCACGACCAACCACAAATCGGAGATAAAGGCTTCCTTCGGCCTGGCTGAATACTATTTACATCACATGCAAAACTACTCCACCATTGCCAGCCCCCTTACTGTTGCGCTTAGTGAGTTTGAACCGGTTAAAATGGCGTGCGTCTCAGAAAAAAATGCATTTTTCAAGCTGAAACAATCATTAGGCGAAAAGCTTGTTCTCATGGCACCCTGCCTTTCTAAAGGCTTCATCATTCAATGAGACACAAGTGATCACGGAATGGGAGTTATATTGTGTCAGGAAGAGAGTGCTGGTAACGAAAGGCCAATTCTGTAATTAAACTAAAAACTGAGCAACAGGGAAGACGCATACAGTACCTCTAAAAAGAAATGCACCTGCCTCGTGTGGGCTGTTCAAAAGCTAGCTTATTATGCCTCTGGTTGGAAGTTTGGTGTGAAAACAGACCACTGTCTTTTAACCTGGTTAAATATCATGTCACCTAAAAGGGGCCTGTTCCTCAGATGGAGCATGATACTCCAGCAGCATAATTTAGTAGTCTGTTATATTAAAAGGAAAGATGAACTCTAACGCAAACGCATTGAGCCATGTGTGGGAGATACTTTCTTATCTGAGATACTTATACTTATTGAGCCTATATGGGAGATACTTTCTTCATATATCTTTTCGGTTTTTCGCTGGTGAGTCGGGGCAAATTTTTGTCCTCATCATGGTCTTGGCTTAGCGCTCCTGTCCAGAGTGATCTCAAGGTGCAAACTTTATTTTGTATTCTGCTTCAATGCATTGTTGCAGATGTAAAATTTTGAGCTTTAGTTTGAAGAGTTTTGTGTCTCACATGTGCCTCTTGATGTAGAGGGAACAACATTTTGATAGACCTCTTGATGTAGAGGGAACAACATTTTGATAGACACATAGTTAGGAATATATATTGCTGTGTTGGGGGTTGGCTGGTCCGGACGAAGCAGAAGAAGAAGACGGCCAACGGAGACATACGTGGCCGGCGGGGACACCGACCAGCCCGAACACGCGGGTTGGCGCGAAGCGCCGAAAGAAAGCACAACAACCGCACTCCACGGTTACCTAACACACACTCCTTTATTTTACAGTCGCCTTGAAATCCTAGATGCCAGAGCAGTGCCCCCTGGCATCCTCACATGTCAATCCGAAACCGAAACCCCAGAACACAACAACCATCCCCTCCTCGAAAAAAGCACATCTATACACCATTTATATTTATACATGCTCGATACCAACATATTTTACAAGGTATGTACATTAGAACACATGAAAATTCAGAGCACGGCACACCGAACTCAAACACTACAAGTCCTGAAAATGCACTGACAACAAGAAAAAATGTACACAACTGTTCGGAACAAGAGTTCTACATCACGTAGTCTTCCAACCGATGCGGCTTCTGCCGCTTCCGCTTAGGGCGGGCCCTTTTGGGTGTAGAATCAGGTGTCTCTGCACCTTGGTCACTTCTGCTCTGATATGGCACATCAAGAGCAGTGGAAGATTGTGAAGGCTCTGAACGAGCGTTAAAATTTGCGGTCTCATCAGAGCTCGCAGCATGAGCTTCGGAAGAATTTTGCGGACCGAAGTTCGGTTCAACGGTCTCAGCCGATTTGAAGATTCGAAGGGAACCGTATGACTTGGTGTACTTGAACCAGCGACACCGACTGGTAACTCCTCCCCCCTTGAAGAAGAAATGCCTGTACATGGAGGCCACATATAACAGTCTGATGCCTAGTTGAAAGGCGTGGACGGAACGTGATGAGGAAGACTTTTAGGTGTTGAAGGCGAATCCGTATGAAAAATAACAAGGCGCGAAGCATTCCAGATGTTACCATCACTTAAGCGAAAAGAAGTGGGGCTAACCTGGCCCAAGACTTTGTAAGGACCCCGATACTTGGGCCGCTTGGCTGGCACACGAACCTTGACTAGATCGCCAGTGCGAACTTTAGACTGCTTTGCACCTCGACCGGTGTCGACATACTTTTTTATTGCTTGTTGACGAGAAAAAACCTTCGTACGAATTTGATCAGGAGAAGACACTGCTATGTTACGAGGCAAAGAGACTATTCGAGAGCAACCCGCGGTTGCCTACCGTGGAGAAGTTGAGCAGGAGACACTCCAGTGGTGCCTTGTGGTGTGAAACTGTACAAAGCTAAACATTCAGTCAAGACTTGCTTGAGGGGACGGTGCTCTAATTGGGCGATCTGGATTTGTTCCTTCAGAACGCGATTAAAGCGCTCGATTTGGCCATTTGATTGGGGATAGAAAACTGATGATCTCAAGTGCTGAATTGCTTGTTGTGAAAGAAAAGCCTCGAAATGTTGGGACTGAAACTGTGGACCATTGTCTGTAACTATGGCATCAGGAAACCCTTCCCGGCTGAAGATTGAAGACAGAAATTCAATGATAACCTCAGAAGTAACTGTATGTGTGAAACAAATTTCTGGCCATTTGCAATGGTAGTCGATGAGAGAAACAATGAACCGGGCATTTTGCAGAACATTATGCAAAGGACCGATGATGTCCATGCCGAGTTTCTGCCAAGGCTGATCAGGCTACTGGACTGGGTGCAACGGAGAAAATGCAGGTTTGGCAGACTTGTCAGCTGCCTGACATATATGGCAGTTGTAAACTGCATGCTCGACCTGCTTGTCTAAGGCTGGCCACCAGTACCTGTATTGGAGATTCTGTTTGGTGCGGACAATGCCTGGATGGGTCTCATGGGCAAGCTGTATTAGCTTGTTACGGAAAGAAGCAGGGAGAATCACGCGTTCATCGCGGAAAAGCAAGTCCTCGACACAAGACAGTTCCTGTCGGACTGCGAAGTAAGGCAAGAAGTTAGAAGCAAGAGCACCTTTGCAAGGCCATCCTTCACGTAAATATTTGAGAACTTGAGACAAAGTGGAATCTGCAGCTGTAGCTGCCTGAAGCTCAGCTTTAGTAATGCAGGAAGTATTTAATGAAACAACTTCCTCATCCCGCTCTTCAGTAACCGGTATCTGAAGAGGAAGGCACGACAGTGCATCAGCAACCGCGTTATTAGAACCCTTACAATATTGAACACTGAAATTATAATACATGAGTTTGGCACACCAGCGGGAAATGCGAATAGGGTGGCGGCCTTCGGATCCTGCAGAAAGAAGCGCAACTAGTGCTTGGTGATCTGTACGTAATGTGAAGTGCCGGCCCCACAAGTAAACATGCCATTTCTCACAGGCAAAAAGACAAGCGAGAGCTTCACGCTCTCCTACTAAATATCTGCGTTCAGCAGGGGTCAATGTACGAGATGCAAAAGCAATAGTGATCAGCTGATCATCTCTGAGGGCTTGAAACACTGCTCCCAGTCCAACATCGGACGCATCCGACGTGATGACGATGGGAAGCTTATCATTGAAAATACTAACAGCTGGCTTTGAGGCCAGTATTGACTTAACTCGAATGAAGCTCTGCTCAGCTTCAGCTGACCAGTTAAAAGGCTGTGCTTGACGAAGTAGAGTACGCAGTGGTTCAACAACATCAGCATAGTGAGGAACAAACTTGGCATAATAACCAACAAGACCTAAAAAAGATTGCAAAGTTCTAACATCAGTAGGCCGTGGGGCATTGACAATGGCCTGATCTTTAGATTCAACAGGTGTCAAGCCGCGAGAACTGACATTATGACCTAGAAATTGTAACTCATTCACAGAAAAATTGCACTTGTTATTAAGTTTCATACCACATTCACTGATGCGGTTGAGAACAGTATGCAAGTTAGCATCGTGCTCTTCGCGAGTACGTGCCCACACCAAAATATTATCTAAGTAACCAAGGGCGCCATTACAACCCTTAAGAATAATTGACATCATTTTCTGAAACACTGCAGGGGCAGATGCAAGCCCGAAACCCACGCGGCGAAACCGAAACAAGCCTTCGTGCGATACAAATGTGGTCAAGTCTCTACTGCACTCAGAAAGTTCAACTTGGTGATAAGCGGACGTGAGGTCCAGCTTGGAGAAACATACCGCTCCGGATAGCTGATGAAGCAGTTCTTCAATGTGAGGAAGTGGAAAACCGTCTACGACGATCGCCTTGTTCGGTTCTTGTAAGTCGACGCATAGTCGAAGGGATACATCTTTTTTCTTGACGACGACCAGTGGAGAAACCCAGTCAGAAGCAGAGACAGGCTCGATTATTCCGCTGGCTTGAAGGCGAGACAGTTCCGCAGAGACTTGCTCATGGAAAAGAAGAGGAATGCGGCGCAGCTTGGCAAGCACAGGGCACACACCTGGTCGACGCATCACTTTATGCACAAAACCACGCACACAACCCAGTTCACGGGTGAACAGGTGGTGGAATTCAGAAGGCGGGTTGGCCGGAAGATCATCTTGGACGTCGACTTGAGCACACGTCATAGACGCACCGACGATGTTGATGGACAAAGCCCTGATGGCATCACGTCCCAAAAGTGAGCTGCCATTGGCTGTTACATAAAAAGTAATGGAAGCAGTGTGACTGCGATAGGAGACTGAGCTGTAAATTGACCTAAATTATCAATCGTTTCCTTAGAATATGTTTGTAGAACGACGTGTGAAGGCAAAAGCCGAATGTTGGAAAAATGACTGTGAAAGTCAGTGGCACTGATTAAAGAGACTGGGGCACCAGTGTCCACGAGAAATGACAAGGGCACATGGCCCACTGAAACTACGATGCTGGGCTCAGACGTAGAGTGGAGGCCATCCACATTTAAAACAGTGATCGTATTGGTTTGTGCAGTGCTCGAAGGAGTGGACGAAGAAACTTGTTCCGGAAGATTTGCTGGACGGGAATTGCATATGGACTGAAAATGTCCGATTTTTCCGCACGCAAGACAAGTGCAGTTTCTCGTGGGACACTGCGCAAAATCGGCTAAATGCCGAGCCGATCCACAACGAAAGCAATGCGCGGTTGCGCTTGGAGAAGAAAATTGCGAACGCGAATTAAGAGCTCGGTGCTGTTCCTGAAAACCAGAATTTGGCAGAATGGGGTCGTCATGTTGCCGGCTTCCTCGCCCCTGCGACGCAGAGAGGCTGCCATGTTGGCTGCCGCGCCGAGACGAAGATGAAGGGCCGCCATGTTGACGCGTCCCATGAAACAAAGAGCCGCCGCCTCTGCCCCCTGCAGCAGAAAGTTGCTGCACTGAATGCGGAGCGAATTGCTCCAACTGGGAGCGAATAAGCTCGTCCTCTCGCGCAATTGAGAGGGCTTCGGATAACGAAATCGAGGAGCCCTTTTGAAGCATGCGGCAGCAGACGTTTTGCGAGGCTACCCCGGTGAAAAGCTGATGGTGGATCATATCGTCCTCGAGCGCGCCAAAGCCGCACGACGCGGCGAGCGTTCGAAGAGAAGTAAGGAACTCGGCGACTGGCTCACCAGGCAATCGTCACCTTTCTTGGAATTTTACGCGTGCGAGATAATCGCACGAGACATCTTTAAAATGCTCATCGAAAAGAGCAACAGCATTCTTGAAGGCATCGCCCGACGCTGGCGTCGGTGACGTGTTGGTTGCTTCCAAAGTATAGAAGAGCTTTAACCCGGCAGCGCCCAGCGCGTTGTGCAGCAGGGCCTTGCGACGCTCGGGCTTCCTGGCGTCCTCCCCGGCCGCGTCTGCGTAGGCCTGAAACACCAATTTTCAGTCCGCCCACGGAAGTGGGGGGTATCCGGGCGAATGAAGAAATAGGGGAGGTGGAATAGGAGATGCCATTTCAAGCAAGAAGAATGGAGAGGTGCTGACGAGAAGAAAATGCCACCAGTACACTGCTTGAAGACGAAGGCAGAGGCGGCGTAGCTGAATGAAGAAATGAAGCGACGCAGGGCGCAGCAGCCACCTTGCTGGGAACCGAGAGCGTCTAGGGTTATCAGGGTAGGTCCGTTACAAGCAAGGAAAAGACGAACACGGAGAACGAAATGGGTTCTTACAGGTCCTCGTCGCCATTGCTGTAATGCGGCTGGCTGGTCCCGACGAAGCAGAAGAAGAAGAAGACGGCCGACAGAGACGTACGCGGCCGGCGGGGACACCGACCAGCCCGAACACGCGGGCTGGCGCGAAGCGCCAAAAGAAAGCACAACAACCGCACTCCACGGTTACCTAACACACACTCCTTTATTTTACAGTCGCCTTGAAATCCTAGATGCCAGAGCGGCGCCCCCTGGCATCCTCACATGTCATTCCGAAACTGAAACCCAGAACACAACATATATATTATGCTATATTGTGATTGGTGTTCTATCCAATAACCGAAGGCACTTCTTTGTTGTGTCGTGTGTTGTCTGTTGTCAAAATGTTATTGACAAGTTGCAGATTCATCAACAAGTGCTGAAACCAAAAATCGTCAGATGAGACGAGCGAAGCTAGTCGACAAGTTTTCCTGACAAGCAAGTGGAGCTAAGATTCTTCTTTATAGATCTGTTCATGGAACTGAACCTTGAGCCACATCCTCTCCATAGCACTATAGGCAAACCTGTAGGAACTTGGCGAACGAGCATGCCCGGCATCCGAGACACGTGAAGGTAGGTTGTCTTTCCGGCATATTGTGTGGCGACAGGGGTGCTGTTATGCCTATGAGTCCAGAGCAAACTTCATTGCTTCTGCAAAGTATTCAAGCTGGTGTCCACATCAATAGCGTTTACATCGACAGACTGGCTGCTGCAACCAACGTCAAAACCAGTGAGCGAGCCAGTCTTATGCAGTTGACAGCATTTCTGGCGGTGTGTCTTACGCAATGCATGAAAAGCCCCCCTGCCCACGGTTCCTATTCTTGCCAGTGACCAGCTGTCGTTCCAGATGGGAGGCTTCGAACCAATGGCTAATGAAAGGAATCCCTAGGGTGCATAAAAGAGCCAAGCGATATGAAGAGAGAGAGCGACTGAAGAAACCTCGGCTCATCCTCACACCTCAGTGTGAGCTCCACAAGCTGCCTGACCCAGTGCCGAATATGTAACGCCTCTGTTTATAATGTACATAAATGTTGTAAATGTTGCCCTAACTCACGATCGCCTTGTCCGCACTATCTATCAGCTCTGCGAGATGCAGCCACGAGCGGAGACACGAAATACCTAACAGGATGCTACCCTAAGTTCACTGAAGGAGAGTTATAGGCCCAGCAAAGCAACAGACAGAAAGACAGACAAACAGAGATGTGATAGAAGTAGTAATAGAAGTAAAAGGAAGAAGTGATAGCGCAAAGAGCTGATGACTATATCAGCAAAGCTTCACTATCCCTTCAAGATAAAGGGATTAGTTTTCTCACCAGCACATTGAGCTTGTTTGGCTGTTACGAACAACATATATGCACGCACACCATCATTGGGTTGATTGTGCTATAAAAACTTCCGACTGTCAGACCTTTGTCCTGTTCTTTTGTGTTAGGTGTCCTCGTTGAATTTGAACCATGAGTTTGTTCAGTTATGAACCAGTACCAACTAGATCAAACGAGAATTGTGCTAGAATGCACCATACATATGAAACAATTATGGTGAGTTTTGTTCCTCTTGCTATTGGAGTGTCTTAATGATGATTGCTTATCACCATCAGCATATAAACAAGTAGTGTTCTTGGCCAAACGAAGGCAACACCTGGCAGGAATCTCAGAAAATATAAAGGAAGCAAGTGCGAAATATAAAAAAGAGAGAAAGAAAAAAACAGTAATAAAAATGCAAATAGCATGAAAGTGAAAAAAGTAGATAAAAAAGAAGAAAAACTAGAAATAAACAGAGAAAAAAAAGACAGGCATAATGAGAAAGGAGAAAAATGAACAGAGAAAGGACTGAAAAAAAGAAAAGTGGAACAAAAACAAAAGGGCTGTACAGCCACTCCTCGCTTTGTTGGCATAAGATTGGTATGTGCTTGCATCACATTCAAGCATTGTCTATATCTCGCTGGTCTCTACTAATTTATCGATGTATTGTTTTCTTAGGCATATTGCTTTATCTGTGGATATGGTGACGTTCTATTCATTTGTGACAATGTGGATTGCGGCAGGTGAGTGTACATTCTCTTCACAATCTGCCTCGACAGTAATTATGGAAAGCATTTAAGACCAACAATACATAGCTGTGCTGATAGAAGAGTGCTTTTTCCAATTCCAACTGAGATCCCGGAACACCTGTCAGAATCTGGGTTTTGCAGTACCAAGAAATGCCTTTATGGGCAATACGATTGAGAGCGAAGAGAAGGCTAAACTATTCTTAGAAGTAAAAACAGGTCTGATCTGGTTGGTGAGAAAGGCACTGAAGAGTGTTCCTGGCACTGCCTTGCAACAAAGGAAGTGCGATAGAATGACAGGTCCAGCTTCGTGAAAAATGATGACAACTGGTCTGCTGCAGAGTCGCAGAAAAACCTCGTTTATGTTTCTGTGAGAACGATGGTCCGTTGTGATTATGGGCTCTTTTGTCTAAGGGAAGAAAGGGCAGAATATCGGATGTATTTGGTCAATGTAAAATTCTAATTAGGACGTTGTTGCTGCACTAAACTAAAGCAAAAGAAGAGCCTCGTGGGTATGCCACATATATTGATACGGCAGAGAGTGCCACTTTTGTTGATAAAACTGAAAAGAGTCTTAAATTTAGAAGCATCCTGGATTCAGCTGCATTTTTGTATCTAGGCTAAATGTAATCTAGAAATCACACTCCAATAGTGTGCTTGGGAATGTTTTTTTCATTCCGCATAGTGCACGACACAAATTTCGCATACTCTAGAATGATTTGCTGTGTATCAACATACCATTCTTTTTGTGTAATAATTCGCGTGTAACATACCTGTAATATTGACATTTACGTCCATACATGCACTGCAAAATATGGTGAAAATTTCAGTAACTGCCTTCTTTAAGATATAAAGTTAAGCACGTTCATTTTGATTCTTTTCAGGTGCATTTGTTCCCAGTGCTTAGAGCGACTTATCGGTGAGAGGGAACCTGAAAAGGTACTTACATGCTCATGATGCTATCAAGACACGATATTTATAGACAGATGATCATGTTATCGTAAATTGCAAAAAACTGGGGAAACGAAATGGAGTATAGAACAAGGGCAGTGACGCTATTTTCTTGCTTTCGATTCGACAGGTGTCTAGGTGCTCTCCTTGGCACTGCAACATCTGCGAGGGGCGTTCAGCTGGCCGCCTTCAGCCACGGCCTGACTGGGAGGCTCGTGTAATTGAGTTCTTCAAGAATCCACAGGCTGTGGTGCCTCCTGTCCCGGATCAGCTTCCTCGACGGAGCTTGCACGTGCTATCCCTGTTCGATGGGATCGCAACAGGTTGGTCTGACTTTACAGTTGTGGCGAGCCAATTGAGACTGCTACGTGTACTTTCAAAATATAATAATACTTTTTTTGGGCCTAGTTAGCATATGTTCCTGAGGAAAGTAACTGTCCAAACACACAAGATGTCTCAAATAGAAGAGGCATGACACACGTTAGCACTGACACGAAACAAATCGTGCGTGTGTGTTATGTGTTTTCTATTTGGGGTATCTTGTGTGTTTGAACTGTTAGTTTTAGTTCAGGAGGGGTAAAATACTTGCATTTATTCCACGTTCCTTGCGATGGTAATAATTATGGTGTGTGTATTTTGTAGAGATTGGCCAAAACTTGAGCAGCGTATTGTAGTAACTATCGCATTTGTTGCAACTTCTAAATGCACGAGGCATTCGTTGTCCCCGTGCACTTCTTGCACGGGGACAACGTGATAAATTGTCGTGATAAACTGCTGTCTACATGTGTAGTATCTCACAAGTCATAACCTTCTTTGCCGCCATAAGACGAGTGAGCACCTGTATTTAAAACCACCAATAACGCACTCCCTGACCAGAGAAGGATTGGCCACCCTGGTGCAGTATCTGGCCGCTACCTCTCACATGCATACGTCAAAACCAATATACTGGGTGTAAACGGCAAGGTTCAGCTTTACGGTTTTCCTAAAATTCAGCACTGGGAAGAACATGAAAGCAAATTTCGCAGATAACCTATGTATCCGGAGGAACACAAAATGAGACAATGTCGGCTGTCTATGGCATAAATAACTAATATTTACTAATACCTTTTCAGTGGCTGTAGAAAGCTGGCATAATTGTATTAAAAAGTTGGAGGCCGTCATGTTTCTACACAGTTAATCTTACAATTGGAAGAATTATACTAGCATGTCCGTGCTTCAAGATATCCTACGGCGAAGTTTAATTGTGCTTTGCATGATTACGTATGCAGGACAGGCAGCACAAGTGTGAAACTTTTCTGTGATTAACCGTGGTGGTTGCGTGTATTGTTTAATCTGATAACGGGTCGAAGACATTAATAAAGATAAAGGTTGGCCTTTTACTGCCAGCTCGCAATAACAATCTATGGCCGTTTGTCACACTGGGGAGGAACATTGCGTCAATCCTCACTGCCTTGCATGTTTAGTCATGCAAAGCACAACTAATATTTGCTGTCGGAAGTCCCAGAGCACAGACATGCTAGAATTCTTCCATGTATATGTGTGTTGAAATGCGACTGCACCCAATTTTTTAATGCAAATGTGCCTGCGTGCTAAAGCTACTGAAAAACTAACTAGAAAACCTTAGTCAATTGGGCCACTGGCATCCAGAAGTATAGTTTCACCTAGCATCCCCTGTGGTAAACATAGTTGAAACATAGGTTATCTCCAAAGGCTGTTTCCACGTTCTTCCCAGAGCTGAATTTTAAGAAATCCATAAAGCTTAACTATGAACGCTCGGTATAGGTAGAAAATGGTATCAACAACCTCCTCAGATCAGTGACACATGATCTTTTATCAAAATGATCATCGAGTGAAATCGCCCTGCCAACCATGTAATGTCCAGTAGACATCAAATAAATATCAATCATATGATATTTTTATCTTCAATGGATGTCCACAAATAGTAATTTAATATTTATGCAATATCTAGGGGATGTCCATTTTGAACAGAGTGGACCTTCATATAATGTCCACATCAGTTCCACACACAATATTGATATAATATTTGGCAATATAGTGCAATATTTAGAGGATGTCCATTTTGACGCGAGTGAACATCCATAGATTGTCCACAGCAGTTCTACAGATAACATGGGTATATATCAAATGACACTTATTTTTAGGTGCAGCGACGTACATATGCATACTATCTGGGGTTTTACGTCCCAAAACCACAATACGAAGAAGAAACAATGTAGTGGAGGGCTCTGGAAATTTTAACCATGTGGTGTTCTTCAATGTGCACTGACACTGCACAGTACACGTTCCTCTACAATTACACCTCCATCAAAATGTGACTGCCGCAGCTGGCATTGACCCCATGACCTTTGGGTTAGCAGTTGAACACCTTAGCCACTGTTCCACTGAGGCGGACAGACGCGCATGCAATCGCACCATATGCTACAAAATAAGGAGACTGTTAACTCAATATGATTGCCTTTAGTCAAATTTATTCCATGAAATTCAGTAAAGGTCTTGGGGGATCTGTCATAGTGATGGCAGTGGTCGGTCAGTCAGGGAACTGGTAGCCTGCAAATATATGCATGTGTATAAACACCACTGTTGACACAGCTAACGTAAACTTGATGCTCAATGAGCAGTGTATGAAGCACGTTTGCAGGGTGTAATCTGCACTTTGAAAAATTACCTCAACAGCATTACAAATGCAAGGACAGCAGTTCCAATATTGAGTGTGACCACATATGGGGTATTTAGTCTAAACATTCTAAACATGCTGTTTAGAAACCAATGAATTGCACCAGCAGAGCATAATGATGAACAAATTAGGTTCCATGGTTGTAATAGTTACCAGACATATATATAAATGCATATTCTAATGGTGAAAAGCACTCATATTGTTTGATCTGTACACATTTATGTGTGCATGAATACAGCCTGGTTTGATTACATTGTACATTCACAATGCAAGATTATGCGTGAATTAGTAGTCTCTTTTACCATAGTGTTTAATCTATTATTACAGGGCAGCCAGCCGGTCTGAGAACTGGCTAACCTCCCTGTCCTTCTCTTCTTCCTATTAATGTGCAATTTGAACATCAAGGCCACTTCAGCGCTTAACAAGTAGTTATTGAGTAAACTTTCGTAATTAATCCAGACACTGCATGCAGGACACTGACAAGAGAGCCCAGAAACACAGTGATGTGCCTCTCTTGTCCATGTCCTTCGTGTTGTTTGAGGATTAAGTAAAAATAACCAAGCCCAAGCTATCCTTGTACATTTTCAGTTGCTGTAACGGCTGGCCTATCTATATGCAAGAGCAGTGCACAACTGGCCGAGAATAGCAGCAGCTTAAATTGCACTTCAGCTTTCAGCTACATCTACAGCACTGCTTGCAGCTCGTACAGAGGGCAACATGTTGGTCTAGAACGCTAGAGTGTCCGGCTCTGCACTGTATGGTTCACATCTACAGACAACACGAAGATTGATATAGGCCACATGCAAGCTTGGGTAACCCCCAATGAAGAACTTTTTTTGGGATGCGGATGCAACTCTTTTGGCTGTGAGAAGCGCTGTCTCAAGTAGCACAGAAAATCAAACAGCGGAGAATCGGCCGGGTTAGTTTCTGAATAATTTGAGCTATGTGGGAAAACTTTTCTGTTAGCAGTGTTATCATTCCCATTGCCTGTCGCAGACATATCTTGCAGAATATTCTCTGTTCTGTTCTACGTACTATCAAGTGCGCTTCTGACCGTTTTTGACGTCCAAAACACTTGATGCAGCCGCAGTGACAAACAAAGAAAATGCAAGGAATGCGCGTCATTGGGCCTATATGCTCAGCTGCAGCCCTGAGCGCGACGCTCTGCCGTTTCGACATGCGTACTACAAACAGTTTACGCGAGTAAAGATAACATTGGAGAGATTAAAGTGAAAAAAAAATGATGCATCACTGCTCAAAAATGGTCACAAATACACGTGACAAACACACATGTGTTTACGCATCGTCCATATAGTCAAAATTTAACTTACAGAAAAGGCCTTTCACTTTCATGTCCTAAAGACCTGGAGTGCTAAAAGGTGACAACGGTCTAAGGAAACAACGAAAACAAGCCTCAACTTCCAACTAAAATTTTATTGCAAAGCAGTAAGAATATATACGTGACACAGACATCACAATCAAATCAATCAATGCAAAGATAAAATCAATCAATACAAAGATAAAGAAAAAAGTGAAAACTAACCAGTAGTGAACTTACAAAAAAATTATGTGTCGGTGAGTTCAAGTGATCTAGTTCTTTTTTCTTCTTGAAATTTTTGCGCAAACATGCAGGGACACAGAAAGAAAGACAAACGCGCGTAATCTAACGACTGGTTTATTTTTCGAAGAACATTCACTTTATACTCCTCAGATCTGCACTCTCTGGTCATAAAAAAACAATAACAAATGCACTGCGCACGTATAAAAAATAATGATAACAAGTTCATTGATTAAGAGACATGAGCGAAATTTCTTTCTCTAGTAAGGCTACCGAAGGGTGGCTAACACACTTTCGCATAGCATAAAAAAGGTGGCCGGAAAGTATGATGTAAAGATGGTGTTTTCGACTAAAAACAAAATAGGAGGAGTGTGCACGTTGTTCAACCAGAAATGTAACAGAGTGACCAGCATACAAAATAAGGTCAAGTGTGTTGAATGTGTACACAATGTACACATATTGCATACCTTTGTTGTGTGCTTGTGTATATATAGGGCCGACAGGCAGGGGCATTAACACGAGGCTAAGGGAGCATATGTCAAGTCTGAAAGGTCGCCCAAACACCCATTTGGCAATGCGTTGAAGTACGCATGCTCTCCTTGTTTTCGCGACACTACCTTGGTATATAGAGATCGAAAAAAGATGCGAAGAGAGATAATGGAGGCTTATCTTGTAGACAAGCCGAAAGACAAGTGTGTTAGCCACCCTTTTATAGCCTTACTAGAGAAAGAAATTTCGCTCATGTCTATTAATCATTTAACTTGTTATCGTTATTTGTGATATGTGTGCAGTGCATATATTATTTTTTTTTGTGACCAGAGAGCGCAGATCTGAGGAGTATGAAGTGAATATTTTTCAAAAAATAAACCATTTGATAGATTGCGTCCATTTGTCTTTCTTTCTGCTTCCCGGTGTGCTTGGGCAAAAATTTCAAGAAGGATATATTCCAACTAGGCTGAATCCCAGTTTCGCTTCTTTTTTCTGTTGGTGCGACGGATGGCTTGCTAATGCAGCTTCGATTTACTATCCCAGCCACCTCAATGATGAGCCTTAATTACACTATTGTTGGA